CTGAGGTGCCAGTGAGGTGAGGGTGGCTTGTGGCTTTTCCTATTCCTCTAATCTCTCAGGTTTTCACCCCTATATTTGGCTCCGGAGTTTGGGAAATTTGTCTACATATGCCTTTAAAAAATACTTTACTGGGGTCAGAGAGATGGCTCAGTAGTTAAGAGCACTGACTGCTCTTCCAGACAACCATCTATAATGAATGAGATCTTATGCCTTCTTCTGGTATGAAGCCAACATACAGGCAGAACACCATATACAAAATAAATAAATCTTTAAAAAAAATTTTTTTAAAACACTTTACTGTTGAAATGATTATCTAAGATGCTGATGAAATGATACCCACACAAACTTGTTCAATTATTACTGCAGAATTGTCAATCCTTCAATTTGTTACAAAATAAAAGGAATACACGTGAAACACAATGAAACAACAGATTCTTACATATTGCAAAACTGTATTCCTGAAAAGATATCCATTATATTTGAGTGATTTGTCAGTATTTTTTTTGCTTTATCCTTAACAAATGTAGGCATTTAGTATTTTAAATGAGAATTCCTAACATGGAATATCATTTTATTACGAGTCCTAATAGAGGTCTGCAGTTGAAATGTATGAATAAGTTAGGTCCAGTCACTCACTTCAAGACAGCAAACAAGTTATGCTGAGAAAGCAGGGAAGGATTTTAATCAATTAAGGTGGAAGACAGAGGTTAAGTTCTCAGCCCCTCTGCAGACCTTCCAACAGTTCCCAGATTACATGGGGGAAGGCACAGAAGTTGAGGCAGGGGGCATAAACACCTGCTAATCTATTTTGGACAACCTGTGTCTGATTGATCAGTAACTCAGGGTTGGTAAGGTGGCTCTTAGCTCCGTAAGGAAACCACTATTGAGGTTGTAGTTTCCACTCTCATTACTGATGTCTGTCCATTAGACTTTCCTGGAGTCTAAGATGTCCCAGGAAAGAATGAGAGTAAAGGAGACAGACACAAAATGAGGGTAGTGATATTAAGTCTTATCCTGATTCTTGGGCATTTGCTGGCCACCGTTAAGTC